ATTTTTATCTTCTCTTTCTCAAACGGAACAAAAGACAACAAGATCTTTAATACGTAGTACATTGTAACTAAAGTCTGCTTACAATCTTTAAAACTCAAAAACATCCTTCCAACGAAATATTAAAGCACTTGAAAAAATAAAAATACAACAAAATATGATTAGGTCAAATATTTTGCATGATTTATGTAAAAATATCATTTTTAGAGTAAATAGAATATTTTGCGTAAACAAAGTCTTGGGTTCGAATTTCGATGCATAAGGTGTTTATCCCGTAATATTTTGAAAATGGAACCTGAATACGAGTTTTAAAATGTGATGACATTTTTCCAATAAGATATTAAAAGCTTGAAATGCTACAAACTACAGCAAAATATGAAATAAACTTCATGAAGGGGAGATGATTTAATTAAACTTCATATGAAGTTCGCCCTATATACATTATCAGTTATCACTGAGGTCCCTTTCGCAATACAATACACCAACTCTTACAACTTACAACATACATAAAAAGGCAGCAAGCTCTTGAATAAGCCCTCTGGTTTCATCCCCCATCAACTTAAATAATCTATCTTCCAAGCGTTTGCACAAAAGTGTTGTGCCAAGGGTCTGAGATGTGCTGTAACAAGTTGTCGAATGGACCTTTCCCAGTCACATTGTGCTGAATTATGAACCCAAGAAATGCCAACATTGCCAATCTCCCTTAAAAAAAAAAGAATGATAGGTTAATCCAATGCCTTCTATGCTGGTTTTATATGTCAGTCCGTATTTCATACTCCCTCCGTCCCAAACAGAACTTCCGTTTCACTTTTCGAGAGTCAACTTAAATCACTTTAAACTCTTATGTTAAGACTTGAGTTCCATCCTAAAAGGTCAACCAGGAAGAGTAACCCAAAGCCTTATATAGTGTTTAATTGTTTTATAACTTTCCGGTGTGGGACAAATGCTTTAACACGCCCCCTCAGCCCGAATCGGGCTGGACAATATCGGGGTGTATAAACGGGCAAAACAAACTCTTAACATGCTACCCTTAATCTTGGGTGCTAAACAAGCCGTCAAACTACAACCGGAATTGACTCTGATACCATATTAAGACCCGGGGTTCCATCCTAAAAGGTCAACCCTGATAGGAGGAGTAACCCAAAGCCTTATATAATGTTTAATTGTTTTATAGCTTTCCGGTATGGGACAAATGCTTTAACAACTTTATATATCAAAACTTTATGAAAATTGAATTTTTTTTGCAGGCTTTGTAGCGGTTTAAATGTAGTTTTTGAATATGTAGATTTTATTTACTAAAAATAATCTGAGTTTCACAGGGATCATTTAACTTTATTATTGGTCAAACTTCGTAACCCGCAATTGGAAGTAAATTCAGGGACGGAGGGAGTATGTTGTTTTGCTTTTTGTTAAATCTATAACCTGTCTAGTAAAACTAAAATCTTCTAAATTCGCTGAAACTAGGTGCAGTGATTGATATGGGTGAATTTACTGAATTATTAAAAAGTTATGATTACGAAAGAAAGAAAGAAGATTAAAAAGTTATGATTGAAATTTATACTACTAATAAAAAGTAAAACCAAAAAAATGATGAATGTAAGAAAAACAGCTCGAGTTGATCACTTGTTCTATACTGCAAATTCAGTTGTAAAAATAGCTACAGTTTTACTCATTTTGATTATTACATAAATAAAAATGCGATCTTTGAAACAAAAACTGGTTATTAATGAGTAAAAAGTGAGTTTTTTTTATTAATTCTGAGACATACACTAAAAGTAGTCAATTGAATAGAATCCAATAATCACTTTGGCTTAGAGCTGGATTAAGTATGAGTACAAACATACCATTGGCAAGCTCCTTCTCCTTGGCTTCAATGGTGGGGGCGAACTTGAGGGGATTAAAGATTCCTCCAGGGTACCCACATTCATTGGGAGGAAGGCTGTATTGCTTAAAGATCGGGTCTTGGTTCACGCATCCCGGATTCTTTATGTCTTGCCACCGTCTGATCTCCACGTAGTGGAACAAGATGAACTCGATCACGAACAGAGTCGACGACGACGCGAAGTATTCAGACTTCCCGGCGTCGTACCATTTCGGGACGTTTATAACTCCGCTCTGGGTTAAAATCTCCGGCAGCAACATCCCTGCCACGCCCAACATTGCCCACCGCCCGTTCACCAGCTCAGCCTGCACGAACCACCGCAAGCTCTCCGGGTCCTCGGCTAGCCCGAGCGGGTCAAAACCATTGTCGCCCGGAAGACTAAATCAATCAATCAAAGAAAGGTTATGGACTACCAATAAATTCGGATCACATTTACGACACATTTATCAATGCGGAGTGACATTTACAATCTCATAAACACGTGAGTAAGAGTGCGATTTTACAATCTCATAAACACGGGAGTAAGACCAAATGTTCTTTTTTTAATACTACCTAGTTTGTCTAACCCTAAAGTCTCCACTTTAAAATCAAGAAGAGCAAAAGAAGTGTAAATCCCAAATTATTAGTATGTTCACCTGCCATCAAGATAAGCTGGGGAAGTCAAGCCAGGAAGCCATTCACCTTTCCTGGCTTGAACCTTGAATGGAGAAATTCTGGGAGAAGAACAAGTCGATGAGGGCCGGAAGGAAATGTCCTTGTTGAGCTGCTTATTGGATGACCCGGTTAGGAATCTGGGTTTGGAGGCGCGTGGACGCTGGGAAACGGCGGCGGAGGCTTGTATGACGGCGGACATTTTCCAGATACGAATGAGAGGGAAAAACGGGAATTGCTAATTTTGTTGGATTACAAACGCCGTCTTTCTGAAGGATGATAAGAACTCAGGGACGAGAGGGGAATGGATGGGATTAATCGGCCAATAGAAATGGAGGATCTTATCCTTGGCATATCCATAATCGGATTGCCATATCCGTATGATGTTTTATTTCTTTGCTGCCATTGGCTTATGGTACACATTAGGGCCCACATAACCGGATTGCCATACCTTATATTTCTCCATATTCAATCGTGAAATAATATGAGTAACTAATAGTGTATAAAAGTATAAATAGAGTGAGTTTAATGCACCAAACCCTTTCGTGATATAGAAATTGAGCATTAGTCTTCTGTGATTTAAAAAATGCGTCAAACCTTCTTGTGTTTTAATTAATTATGCACAAAACCCCTTTTAGGAATAAATTTAACAATTCGGAAATCACTTTTTCTAATATTTTGATTGAATATGCAAGTAAATATGTCAAAATCTCTAATTCATATAAAAATCTTGATCATTTTTCTTTCATTTGACAATTGAATTTACTCATAAAAGGGGTTCTGTGCATGATTAATTTAAACACAAGGGAGTTTAATGCTCACGTAAAGGTAATTGAGTATGTTTATAAGAAAACATACCAAAAAAGGAAAGTATAAAATACTTTTGAATACATCAAAACAAAGTGTAACAAACTTCAAAATACATAAAGAGCATGACAATATCTAGATTAAAAATTAATGACATTTTAAAATGAAGTGTAAACTATGAGATGAAAAAGAAGAAGAGAAATAGAAAAATCGTTAGTATACTCTCACGTATATAAAGTCGGTGCCATAAAAATTAAACCACGATTAATTTCCAAAATGACATTTTGAGATTGGAAATATGGCATATAAGCATTTATTTTCGAGAAAACATCGTTGTCAGCTTGATAATCATAGTATCATTAAAATACATTAATTTCAAATCAAGCTTCGAATAAAGAAGTAGTTTTTGGAAAATTGAAAATGGTAATTACTGTAATATTTTTGAAAATCAAAGAGAATATAATATTTTGAAAGAGTATTTAATAGAAAAAAAGCAATATAGTTAAGAATAAACTGAAATATATTGAAATAGATTGAAATCAATAAATAAAAACAAAAAAATTGAAATGAAATTTGTCAAAGATGAAAGGAATGAAGAATGAGGAGATGAGAATGATAAGAATTAAACAATATACACACCGAAGAGATTCAACCCCAAAACCTGACAAGCTACTCGATTATGAGTTAGTGTTTATTATTTTCGATTAAAAAAACGTGTTATGCTAAAAACGTACGGAGTATTATTTTAGATACAACCCTATATACACATGACAAAAAACTTTTACTTATTTTATGCTAAAAAAATTCTAGAGATTCATATAATGCATTACATTTTAGACAATGTTCTAAACGTGTTATGTGGATATTAGGCATTCTTAGGCAACACTCAAGTAGATTTAAGCAGCACTAATTGAACTTAGTTTAATTTGGATTTGAGTAAATCATAGACGACATATGGAGCCATAATATTCATGGGATAACTAGGCAACAAGTTTCAAAACATTGTTCCAACTTTCAAGTGTAAAACCTATTGATTGCACATATGTTTTTAACTGTATGACAAATCAAAACCTTTGTTTACGAGTACTCCATCCGTCCATCCGTCCCAATCGACTTTGCAAACTTTTTTATTCAAATTTTTTTCCCTTTCCAATTAAAGCAACTACTTTGTGGATTTATTCATTTTTCTCTTCTCTGCGCAAACCTCGATCACACAATTTTTATTTTTCCTATTTCTCACCTAATCTAAACTTTCCAAATTTCACCGGGATGGAGGTAATATATCATTTTTAGAATGGATAAAACTCGAATATAAATTGAGCTCAACTAGAATCTAAATTCAACTCAAATCAAACCATAGATTTTTTTTACTCAATCTAAACTCGACTTGAATTTGAATATGGTCTTTCTTTATCAACTCTTTTAGAGCTCATTTGGTAACTCTGTTTTCAGGCTTATCAGCCGACTTTTTAATCAAACACGTAACTTTTGATTTCATACGTTGAATTGTGTAATAATAAGAAAAAGTAAGGTTGAAGTAACTTTTCTGACTGTATTAGTTGAAATTATTGTAGTCTGTAGATAGCTATTTTTTATATAATTTTTCTTTATTATTTTAATAAAATATATTTTAAATTTAATGTTTCATAAACTTAGCACCCTACCCACCCAAATAGAATTAAATTACTCAGTATGAAAATACCTCCCCTGGAACTAACAATCCTACCATGCCAAAAGTGTGACCACCTGGAAACGTACCATTGACGGCAATGGGTGGACTTAAAAATGAAAGAAAAACTGAGAAATTGCGCTTATAGACCCCAATCGCATCCTCTATTCTCTCTTCTTCGTAATATACCTTCGAAGGCGACCCAGGGCATGAGCACCTAGTCCAACGCATCCACCCAATCGTGACTGACAACGCCGGCCGCCGTCTAGGTTCACCACCGTGCCCCGCCTCCCGCCTTCTCAGAAGCTCAACCCACATCTCCGCTGAGCCGCCTAGCGTGTCTGACTCTGATTGTCGCTCGGCCGCTGAAGTGTTGATTTGCTGAAGCAGGTAAGTTTATCTCTTTCAAATTATAAATTATTAATTTTCTTAATTTGTTTGTATTATATTTATTAATCTTCTTGATTATTACTACCTCCGTCACAGGGAAAAGTTCTCAATTTCCTTTTTTGGCAGTCCCAACAAGAAGTTCCCATTTCCCTAAATGGAAAGTTATTCTACATCAAAACAGTGCCAAACAGTGCCAAACAGTGCAAAACAGTGTCGAAACAGTGTCAAACAGTGTCGAAACAGTGCCAAACAATAAAATTTACCCCCCAGTAACTTTATTTCCTTAATATGTGTGAAAGTCAACCCGGGAACTTCTCCCTGGGACGGAGGGAGTATGTGATACTGTGATTAGGATGCTGATTTTAATTATCTATTAGGCCTACTCATCTATGATCAAATTTAACACATTAGGTTCTTATTTTTTATTTTTTGTAATTAATTGATGAAGTAATTAAACTAATATATTTAACTAATTGTTATAACTATGTTATTAGTGAAAAGGTTGTTAATTTAAATTCCTTAACTTAAAATTTAAGTTAGCTTTTTTCTATTACTATTATCTTCATTAATAACTTTTATTTTAACACAAATTATCAGTAATTTATCACTGTCATCATCTTTAGCTATGTTGTATTTCTACTTGTATTGGAATGGAAGGCCTGATAGTCTCCAGGTCTCCACTTTTTCAGGATCGGCCCTGATAGTCTCTGGTCAAGAATTGACCTACCATAGTTTTGAAGAAAAGTTTAATCTTTCCAAAATTTAAACCTATCATCATCAAGAGAAATAGGAAACAGGGGAAGGAAGGAGAGGTGGGGATAGGTAAAATGGGGCTGTTTGATTTGGAGAAGCACTTCGCCTTCTACGGAGCATACCACAGCAACCCGGTGAATATCTTCATTCACATGCTCTGCGTCTGGCCAATTTTCTTCACCAGTCTTGTCCTCCTCTACTTCACTCCCCCAATTCTCAACGCCTCTCCAGTTCAGCTTTGGGGTCATACTGTCCTGGTGTTCAACTATGGCTTCTTGCTGACCTTAATTTATGGCCTCTTCTATGTGGGTTTGGACATCAAGGCTGGCTCTCTCGGTGCTCTTCTTTGCTTTCTCTGCTGGATCTCAAGCAGTCGCCTTGCTCTTGTACTTGGTTTCTCCTTAGCCTGGAAGGTATATGTATAGGATTTACAGTTTTTTCATTTCCATTTTAAAAATTAAAAACTTATTCTCTTATGCATAAAAGATTAGAGAATCTGGCCTAATACTCCTTTGAGTAGACCAGTACTGAAATTTATGTGTGATTCTAGTCTTAATTGACATATACTACCGCTATCTTTTTCTATTTTCAAGATTTGTTTCTTTTTTTATTTCTATGCTGTTAAAAAATTAAATCATTCTCTTGTACATGAAGAGTAAAGATTCCTCCCTAAAGACAAGAGATTTCAGCTTAAGCTAGGTTTGAGCAGGCCATTATTGAAAATTGAAATATATGTGGGGGGTTTTAGTCGCAATGGACACACATGATCTTTCCCAGTTTCGAAGATTTGTTTTTTTCTTTGCTTCATTTGTGTGTTGTTCAAATATTACAATTCTCTCTTACATGAAAGACTACAGATTCCAAGTTAAAGATGCATTAAGCATACCAGTTTTCCAATTCATATTTTGTTCTATTCATAATAGTATCAATTGCTTAATTGGTTTTAATATAATAATAATGAAACTTAAATTTCCAGCCTAAAATACCAATTTTATATGAGGAGGCCATCCAACACGTTATATGTAAATTTCTATCCTTGTACTTGCACAATTTGTGGATCTCTGACAGTAATTTTAGATAAAATCTTCATGATCGTCTCTTTGTTCTTCAAATGAAAAATGGATTTCTCCCTTTGCCTCAGGCTGTCTCGTGATCGCATCTCTAATTTGACCCAATAGCTCAGATAATTAGAGCAATATGTGTATGTGTGTGTGTGTGTATATATATATATATATATATCAATATTTGTATATTATAACAGTGTAATGTCACACATGATGATCAGGTAGTTCTTGCAGCTCAATTGTTCTGTTGGACAGGACAGTTCATAGGGCACGGTGTGTTTGAGGTAGTATTGAACCGATGTCTTTACCCTTTTGTTCTTTCTAAACATGTTTGATCGACCATCCCCAATCATGGTTTTCGTTATATTGTAGAAACGAGCTCCAGCTTTGCTGGACAATCTCACACAAGCATTCCTCATGGCTCCTTTCTTTGTCCTGTTTGAGGTAAATAAATACTTCTAGCTCATGAGAAACCAAATATGTGTTTGGATTTATTGCATACACATGTCTTAATTGTGAGCTATTAATGTATGTCATACACAGGCTCTTCAGACTTTCTTGGGCTATGAACCTTATCCGGGCTTTCATGCCCGTGTTGAAGCTAAGATAAAAGCTCTAATTGAGGAATGGAAAGAAAAACAAAAGCAGCACAAGAAAATTTCTTGAATGAAAAATGATATATTTTCTTGTTTAGAACTTTCTGTTTGCATTACTGAAACTGGGTTGCATACATTACTTTCTGTAAACCCCTTTATACTCCATCTGTCCCTAAATAAATTTCTCAATTCCTTTTTATGAATGTACATAAATAAAGTTTCATTTCCGTATTTGATAAATAAATTTATAATAATTTATTTTACTATTATATGAGTGAAAGGATGTGAAAGAAAAAAATTTATTTCCTTGATATGTGTGCAATTCAAAGCGAGTTCCTTACATAGGGACGGAGGGAGTACATCTCCATTAGATTACTTGTAGGGGAGAGCACGGGTCGGGTTCGGGTCGGGCGGTTTGAAAAACCCAAGACCCTATCGGGTATCGGGTGACTTGAATGGATACCCGATCCTATGCATTTAAAATAAAAAACATTCGGGTTTTAAATTTTCGGGTTTATGTCGGGCGCGGGTCGGGTTTCGGGTTAAATCGGGTTAACAAATTAGCCAAAAAAATCAGAGTTTAAATACAATTTGAACTTTGATGTTTACAATCAAACCATACTGAGTTTAAGTCCAAAAAATATAACAAAATGAAATGGGACTAAGTTTACACATTACAATGTCTTATAAATGTTACAACTTTACAAGCTGCCATTCAAAAATTCCCAAACAGCAAAATCATAAGTTCCCACTTCACAGTTCACACTTGAGTATTTGAGTAGTAGAGTACTTCAGTACTTGATAACTTGACCAATTGTCCACTTCCCAGCTTTAACACGTCAAAACTCAAAACATCACAAGTTGATGACCTATTTACCTAGATACAACATACAAATATACAATACATAAACAAGTATCAAATTCACAAAGCATTGAAGTATACAATGAAAAAATACTTAGAAGAAACAGATTAAGTCTTTATACAAAATCAGAATTCAGAACTTCAGAAGCTCCCAAATGACTATTGATAAACACAATAATTACTTATGTTTTACATAAAGTAATTACATTTATCTGTACAAAAATATGAAGCAAAAACAGATAAATATTCTCGAGTTAGCGGAAACATGAAATACGACATGGAGCAATAAAAATAGGGTCAAAAGTCAAAAGGGATCGAAAACCGGCACTTCGGGATCAATTTCGGGCATCAAACGAAGAAAAGAAGCGAAGTACAAAATTGGGCGCAGGGACCGGCGCCGGAGTCCCTATAACCGGCGCCGGTCGTCAGGAATTTTTGCCCAATTCGGCCCTGTTTCCAACCGGCGCAGCACAACCGGTGCATTTTTGCACCCAACCGGCGCCGGACATGCTATAACCGGCGCCGGTTGTTCCGATTTTTTGCTAAAACAGTCCGACGTGCAGAAGATTTCTGATGGGAAAAACCCATCTTCCTCCATATCTGATCAAATATTGCTTCCATATCCGATTGTTAGGCTTGAATAGACTAAAAGATGCCATTCTTTAGCCTATATAAAGCCCTTAATTCATCAAGCAATGACATTCCATTCCATAGATTAATTCTTAGCTTTTATATTTTTGTTCTTGGTATTTTCTTCAAGTTCTTGAGGAGGAAACTTCAACCTCCGAAATCATTGGTGTTTAGGTATTATTTCCTTTGTAATTTCATGTTCCATTACATTTCATTATTGTATGTTGATTAATATGAGCATTAGAGGCTAATTTCTTAGCTAAGGCTAGGGATGAACCTCTATGCACACTAGGTGTTTGATAAAAGTTCTAAACCAATAAATTGTGATTTATCCTTTATATTTTGATTGTTTATGACTATGGTGTACAACATAGAAGTATGTTAAATTTAGTTTATGCTTGCAATTAACGTTGAAGTCTAAACTATGAACATTAAAGGATAAACATATATAGTACCGAGAATAGAAATATATCCGGTCTTATATGATACGAGTGTGATGTCTTGATATTCAACGGGGTTTTCGGTAGATGAATGTAAGCCGTAACGGGACTTACACGTAACGAAAACCACGCTCTCGCTGCCTTAACCGGAGTTGAGAATATATTAGCGACATCGTATTCATGATTATTGGGGAAGAACTATTATTAAACAAATATTAAAGCATTTAGGTGAATCCCGATTGCCTTAGTAATTCTCATTCTTGTTTAAACCAATCTCAAAGAGCAAAGTTCCTAAAAAAATATATCATTTACATTCTTTGCATTCAATACTCGACTTTATAATATCAACCATTTCCCTGTGGATCGACCCGGTATTTACCGGTATTTTATTACTACATCGGCACTTGTATACTTGCAAGTTTAGCCCGATCAAGTTTTTGGCGCCGTTGCCGGGGAAATACGGCTTGTTATTATAGAGTTAAAACAACCAAACAAAATCCTGAAATTTTTATTTCCCATTGCTTTTCACTTGTTCTTGGGTACTTTTCATTTCATGTGTGTAGACTATCCTTTGTGTTTGAATGCATTTGAGAAGTCAAGGTTCTAAACATCTTGAACCTCTTGATCTTGAAATAGAAAGAACTCTCAAACACAACCGGAAGGAAAGAAAGGCGAAGATGATGCCAACACTCAATGAAAGGAAGAGGCCCGTGGTTGCCGCCACTCCCTCATGTATCGTCCTAAGCGAGGCGGCTCGGGACTATGAAATGAAAAATAGCTACTTCAATGCTATGCCTCAATTTCATGGCCTTCCGGGGGAGAATCCACTAAACTTCATCACCGAGTTCTATGGATTCATCCAAGGAATCCCTAGGCATGGTCTCACCGAGGATGATCTTAAACTCAAAAGCTTTCCCTATACCTTGAAAGGGGGAGCAAGGGGATGGTTCTTGGAGCAAACACCGGCAACTTTCACAACGTGGGAAGGTATCTATAATGCTTTCATTTCCAAGTATTATACACCCACAATGACTCAAGAGCTAAGACAACGAATCTTCAACTTCAAACAACAAGTTGGAGAACTATTCCAAGACGCATGGAGGCGTTTCAAAGCCTTGTTGAAGGAATGTCCACATCACCGCATTCCTCTTGATCTTCAAATTGATACATTCTACAATGGTTTGAACTCTTCATGCCAAGCCATTGTAGATAACCGTGCGGAGGGCTATATTGGCAACAAAACTGAAACGGAGGCTTTGCGAATCCTTGAATCCATTGCTTCCAATCCTCAACTACAAGGAGGAGATGTCAAATTAGCCGGTGTGAGTGAGGTGTCCATAGCTCATGAATTGGACAAGCGGTTTGCTGATTTTCAACAAGCTATGCACAAAGATCTTCAAGCCTCTATTCATACGGCTCTTCAAGCCGTGATTGGAGGAGCTAGTCAAGTAGCAAGTGTGGAGAATATTGCACAACCGGAAGGTAATTCACCTCAAACTCTTGAAGATGTGAATTATATGAACTCTTACGGGAATCGGGGGTACCAAGGAGGCAACAACTATTCCAACAATCAACAAAGGTTTAACCAAGGTAAACCACAAGGAGGTCCTTCTTACCCCTCATCCGGGTTTACACATGGGCAAAAAGAGCAAACAATGGAGGAGATGATGAAGACTCTCACTCAAAATGTGGTGGCTAGTGTAAAAGCCCAAAATGAGGAGAATCATAGTAGAGTGGAGGCATCCATTGGGAATCTCCACTCACAATTCACCAAGCTTGACCTCCGGTTTGAAGATCAAAACCGGAAACTTCACCAACGCATGGACAACATAGAACAATACACCAAGTCATCTATCCACAACTTGGAGGTCCAAATTAGGCAAATTGCCCAAGGAAAAAGCACTCGAGAACAAGGGCGATTTCCCACAACAACCGAAGTTAATCCAAGGGAAAACGTCATGGCCATAACAACGCGGAGTGGCAAACAAACGGAGGACCCTAAAACTCCGGAGGAAGCACCAACGACACAAGACGAGGAGGAGTTGGAGGAACATATATCGCCACTTCCTACTATGGCAAATTATGTTCCCCCTATCCCATATCCACAAAGGTTGAAGAAGAAGAATGATGGTAAACAATACAAGAAATTCCTTGATATTTTTACAAAGTTAAGCATCAACATACCATTCGCGGAGGCTATTGCGGAAATCCCTTCTTATGCCAAATTTCTAAAGGGGATTCTCTCAAACAAGATGAAACTAGCGGACTTTGCAACCGTAACACTCACGGAGGAGTGTAGTGCAATCCTTCAAAATAAACTCCCCCCAAAGTTGAAGGATCCCGGAAGCTTCACCGTCCCATGCTCTATTGGAAAAATTGGAGAGGTAAAATCTCTTTGTGATCTCGGAGCTAGTATAAATCTTATGCCACATTCCCTCTTTAAAAAGCTTGGTGTGGGGGAACTTCAATCTACAACGGTTGCTCTCCAATTAGCGGATAGAACAATCCGCTATCCATTGGGAGTTATGGAAGATGTTCTAGTTAAGGTGGGAAAATTCTATTTCCCGGTAGATTTTCTCATCTTGGAAATGGAAGAAATGGAAATTCCTATCATTCTTGGGAGATCATTTCTAGCCACCGCCGCCGCCCTCATTGATGTGAAGAACGGAGTTGTCAAATTCCGAGTAGGAGAAGATGAACAAGAATTCCATGTGTGGGATTCATTGAAGAAACATCATGATAGCTCCACGTGTTTTAGTATTGACATCATTGATACTATAACTCGGGAGATGTTTGAAAAAGAACTTCAAAAAGACCCTCTTGAAGCATGTCTCACACTTGGGCATGCCGAAGAAGAAGAAAATTCTGAAATTTTCCAACAAATGATGTTCTTACAAGGAGAAGTCGTTCATAGACCTTACCGGCAAAGATTTGAAGACCTTGGACAAAGGAATTCTATTCTCAAACCATCAAGTCAAACTCCTCCAAAGCCCACTCTCAAACCTCTACCGGTACATCTCAAATATGCATTCCTTGGTGATAATTCTACATACCCCGTGGTAATTTCCTCTACTCTTTCTTCTTTACAAGAAGAGAAATTACTCCGGGTATTGAGAGCTCACACATCATCAATAGCTTGGTCCTTGGCGGATATCAAGGGTATAAGCCCAACTCTATGCATGCATCGGATCCTCATGGAGGAAAACCACAAACCAACGGTGGAACATCAAAGGAGGCTCAACCCAAATATGAAGGAGGTAGTCAAGGAGGAAGTTCTCAAACTTCTTGACTATGGTATTATCTATCCCATATCCGATAGCAACTTTGTGAGTCCCGTTCAAGTAGTCCCGAAGAAGGGAGGAATCAC